AATGTTCCTGACCACAAAGAAACCTTGAAAACGATGAGTTCTGCAGTTGAGAAAATGGCCATTGCAATGGGATCGAAACCCAGCAGCCTTGAGCGATTGACAGTTCCGATCTGGGACGGAAGTCGCAGAACGTATCAGAAGTGGAAAAGAGAGTTTAGACACTGTATGGCAAAATATGGACAAGACAAAGATGAACAACTTAAAAGATTCCGAAAAGCAATACCTAAGGATTTCTTCTGGACAGATCAAGTCAAGACTTGTAAAGATGTTGACCAAGCCTGGGAAAATTCTCCAAAATAAATTCGCAAATGAGCGAAAACTTATGGACGAACTGTTAGCTGAAATGAACAATTTGAAACAAGTTAAACGAGACTGCAAGTCACTCACGCGTTGCGCCATGACGATTTCCATATTTGTCAGTGATATGAAAGACAGCGGCTGCGTCGTGTTAGAGGCGTCAGAAGCTCCGTTTTTCATGTCTCAGCTATTATCGAAGCTCGATCAAAGAGACAACACAAACTTTGGAAGAGAGATGCAAAGAGCGGGAAAGGAAGAGAATGTGTCAAACCTCGTAACCTGGTTACATCGAGAGGCAACCCTCCGCTCCAGAGGAAAACGAGACAATGACAACGCCGACGAAAAAGAACGTACCCACCAAGGACCAACCTTTAGAAGAACAGATAACCACGCAGCAAACAATGAGCAAGAAGCGTGTCCACTCGGTTGTACGTCGAAGCACCATTTAGCGGCCTGTCCGTTGTATCAAAGTTCAACTGTAAATCAAAGAGGGGACGTAGTCAAACAGAGCAACAGATGCCGAAAATGTCTCAGGCCACATCATACGAACGACTGCAGGAAGCCGGACGGTACTACCTGCGAGAAATGCAAAAAGAACCACCACCATTCTCTTCACAACGAGAAGATTAATTCGAATTTAAGCGCGCGCGCAGTGCCTTTCCGAATGCAAGATATTCCTGCAGAAGGAAATACCAACTGCGCCACTAACCAGAAGAAATATTTCAAGCTCATAACTGGTTTATGTCCTGTCCAAAACGTCAAAGTTATGGACTCAGGTGGAACGCTTGTTGAAATACTAGCGATGATAGATTCCGGATCAAACACAAGTCTGCTATCAAAGAATGCAGCTGAACGACTTGGAATAGCTGGGACAGTTACCATCTTACTATGAATCTAGCAGGTGGAGAGAAGAGGTCTGAAGCTTCAAAAATCATCGAGATAAATATTACCTCGACCATAGATGAGGATATCAGAAAGACACTGGAAGTATACGCTATAAAGAAACCTTGTAGTGCCGCGAAGACGATCTCGAAGGAAACTATTGAAAACTTCCCTCATCTCAAACCAGCGGCGAACAAACTGCATCTATCTGGGGGAACAATAGATCTTCTAGTTGGTACAGATTTCGTCGATGCATTCGTTGACATTCATACCTTGTCAGGTAAACCTAGAGAGCCGATTTCCAAATGCAACTGCTTCGGTTGGTACGTCTTAGGACAAGTTAACAGTTACAGGATACAGTCCATTGCAGTTGGAACAGTGAGGATTGAAGACGACTTTAAGAAACTACTTTATCAGGACACGCTGGGAGTTAAACCAACAGAACTGTGTATATGTAGTGAGAACGTGCCACGAGAAAACAAGTTCGTCAAGTCGCTGTCTGATTCAACTACATTGGTAGATGGGAGAATCCAAGTAAGAATGCCTTGGAATGAGAATGGACCCCCAAAACGCAGCAATTATAACATTGCCCTGAAAAGAATGCAGTCTGCCGAGAAATCGTTCCAGAGAACAGGATGCTTCGAAATCGTAAATGACGAAGTCTAAAAGCTGTTGCAACAAGACTTCATAATTAAAGTTCCTACAGAAGAAGTTGATCACAGCCAACCTGAATGGTATCTGCTTTTACAAGCAGGCTTGCCACCAGAGAAAACCACTAAGGTCCGCCTTGTTTTCGATGCGTCTTCAAAGGGTCACGACGGTCTTTCCCTGAACGCTCACCTTGAGAAACGACCTAATTACATTAACAGTCTTCCCAATGTACTTATGGGCTGGCGATGGAACGAAGTGGCTTACTCGGGTGATATCCGAAAAATGTTTAATCAAGTTCTAGTGAACTCTGACGACCAAGTTTTCCATAGGTTCTTGTAGAGAAGCGACAAAACTGAAACGCCCTCAGTCTCTTAGTGGCTCAGTTTAAATTTCAACGAGAAGCCAGCACCAGACATCGCCTCAAACGCCATCAATTACTTAGCCAAAGTCTCACAAGTCGAATTTCCGGATGCATCCCAGGAACCGCGAGATCACGTGTACGTGGACGATATCGCAGGCTCCAAAAGCAACTCAACAGAAGCCAGGAAAATAACGAAAGAAATTGACACCATCCTCGGAAAAGGCAAGTTTCAAGTTAAGGCTTGGCACTCCAACTGCTCGGAAATGATCCGTCTAGAGGTGAAAGATTTACAGAACTGCTTGGCCACAAATGGGATAAAGAAGAAGATAACTTTACCTTCAAGAAAGAAAACGCGGTTGGCCTATTGGAGGGCTTCTCCAAAAGAAACTGTCTGAAATTTCTCGCTCAACTCTAGGGTCCCATCGGTCTTGTTTCACCCGTTATTATCAAGTTCAGAATTGATCTGCAAGCACTATGGAGTTCAGGTTACAACTGGGACGACATCCTTCCCGAGAGTATTCAGCAAACATGGTTAGAGAATGTTCAGACCATAAATGATCTCTTGTCATTTCAGTTTGACCGTAAG